ATTATCTTGCTTGCAGGAAAGCGCTGCACTCGGTCCATACTGTCAAGACCTCGGGCCAATATTCTCCCAGTACGGCCCTCGCGCTTGGTTAATAAGATATATGTATTGGTACGTGGATATATGATACACTGGTAACTGACATAAGAAACTACCATCTTTCATACTCCATCACCACAAAGAAAAATTATGACAATACCATTCAATGCAATACTGCATGTGCTATGTAAACCTGGTGTATGGCCATGCTTTATTATCAACAACTTCTTTCGAGCTCACTTGATAAAGAATCCAACTGCAAAATCAGATGGTCTGGGGTTCATATCCTCTTAGCCCTTCACACCCTTACATCAGTTGGCAAGTTCTCCACACTGTACTCTATACATTTCCTGTGGTACTTGCAAGGAGAATTTGCTTAATGATCAAGAGCTTCCTGTTACAGTCATTCCCTTTATTCTCATGACCATAATGTTTGATCCGAGGGTAATGCTATTAGGAGAATTTACATTCCTATCACTGTTTGGGATTAAAGAGTTAAGGAAATCAAATTTTTTCCTTGTCAAAAAATAAACATTTTCCACAACTTCTACATCTTCCAATTGTTCTCAGACTGGTTGCATATACTTGCATAGTCTGATAACTTGAGTTAAGGTAATGCAAGATACCTGTTTGTATGCTGTGCATGGCCATCTCATCAATTGTTGTATCTTCTGCCAGTAATCGTTGATAGCTGCCAGGATTTAACTTCATTTTCTTCCTTGCTCCACTAGTGTCCACCCATACCTTTAAGAAAAAAAGGACATGTTGAAAATCTTAAAGAGAAGTTTCTAAAGAAACTGTTGGTGGTGCTGCACATTGCATTGGTGGGGTATTACGAGATAATTTGGTAAAATTCACTGGGTTAATAAATGTTATAAATAAGCTACTGTAGAGAGCTTCTTAAGCTGATGTGTTGAGCATGAGCCCTTTCTCAGTTGATAAAACCACAACATCCTGTTGAAAAATCAAACTGATTGATACAGAAATTGTCAATTAATTTTTTTTACAGTGTAGTTATGCTCAAAGGAACAGAAACAAGTTGTGGGTCATGTTACCTGGGCTCTAAGTTCCATAGGAATCCCTTTCCTAACAAATCTTTTCACTGAAAGAAATCAAAAGTATAATAAACATTACTGAAAAATAGTAATTTTAATAACATACAATTTATAATACGCTATAGAACCCCCCCTAATTCAAAATCCCATGAGAAACAAAATATGATTTGAGTTAGCTGATAGTGAATGACTCAAAAATTGGACCTTGTTTAAGTCACTGAGTGGTTCAAATTAATCATGTTCAAGTGAGCAGGGTTTTACTGTAATGGGGCACTTACTTTTGCAAAATGGTAAATACCATAAATCCTCCATTAAGCCCCCCCTTCAGATGAGGAAATTTACGAAGCCCCCCTCTAGTAAGCTCCCCCTACCCTTCCCACTAAAAAAAGTTCAAAATAACGCTCCATGTCAATAAGCAAGATAAATTTATTCAAGCACTGTAATTTTAGTTTGTCTTTTAAAACTGATTATGGTGATTGTTTGATTGATGTTATCATGTTGGCATCATTACAATATTGTATACGGAATTACAATTTGGTCAATGAAAAAATGCAAAATGAGAAGAATGTTTTTATACATATAGTACATTATATCCTATCGTATTATGGTAGTGAACATCAGGCTAAATTAATAAGCCCCCCCCCTCTATTAAGCCCCCCTCCAATAAGCCACCCCCCCCCCAAAGTACCTGAAATAAATAAGCCGCGGGGGGAGCTTATTAGAGAGGATTTATGGTAAATGCAAAATGCAAGGCCAGAAAGTACCCCAAAGACTCCAAGGGCAGCCTTCATCAGTCCATCTTTGATCTAATTGTCCCCACAATGCTTCCAGTCATTTTACAAAGCTCTAATTGGTCTGTAATAAAAATATTTGTTTCCTATTCAAAGCAAGTATCGTAAAAGACCACATGATTACCTCTTCTTGACTTTCTCACTTTGTTCACACCCTTCATGAAGTTATCCCAGCGCGATGCTCGCCGTGCCAGAACCCTAATGTAACTTGACATAAATTCTTCATAACTTGAGTAGTCAAAGTCATCTGGCCGGTGAAAGCCATATTCATCTACTGGGCTATGGATTAAATATTAAACATTTAAAAAAAAACTATTGGCTGTGTTAATGTCAATTTTTTGGACTGGAATGGATGTTAAGGAAGACATAGCCATATTCAGAACCACATTGTAAAGTATTTGTATAGCTGCACAAGCCTGTGCTCTACAGAACCTCGGCACCACAGGTGACTAGCTTTTGTCTTAAAGTGATTTGTATAACTTGACTTTGTGACCCCAGTTTTTGCCACCAGACCTTTCAGGTATCATGAATTTTCCAGAAGAAGAATCATTCATAATTCTTTAATTTTTTCAGTACATAAAGAGACAAACATGCATCTCCAATTCAAAATATGCTCTAAATAGGCCCATGACAGTATCAGTAGCTGACATGGTTTCTGACCTCCCTTTTTAACACTCCATCCCATGTACATTTAGTAAGCAGAAGATTCAGAAGAGCAAGAATCATACACTTGACATTAATCTCAAAAAAAGAGGAGCTCACTGGTAATGTCAATAAGTGTGTCTAAAGATGTTACATCCACATCCCTCTTAAAAATATGTTGACAAATCAAAATATTTTAGCCTAATGGAATTGAGTATTTCCAAGTCAAAGGTCTTTACACCACACCACTTTTAAATAATATTTTAATGCATGATCTCATCTATAGAATGAGCTTGGACAGGAAATTATTTTATCAGCATTTGTGATATGGTTTAAAATAATTTGTTTTGTTATGAAATAGAAGATTAGCCCTTTTTCGTGGATCTTTTCTAAATCCTTCTTTAGAGTTCTTCATAGCCTTTTAAATAAAAATAATGTTCTTAATATCATTCTTGAAAATTATTAAATCAGAGTTGAGCACTCAAATGTAGATTCCATTGTAATGTTTTCCTGTGATTAGAGGGAAAAATAACTAAGAATTCATTTACATGTATTTCAACACACTACCAGGAAGTTGTAATATTAGATACTTAAAACCGTACACTTTTGAACCAGAAATCAAATTTCGAGGGACCAACTGAGAGGATTAACTCAAACTCTTTATTTGGCATCTGACAAATACATTGTTTTTTTTGGCAGCGACAGGTAAGCACTGCAGAGCTGTAAGCAGCTGTGCTGGTTGAAGATCTTCATGGATAACTAAATTATAAGGCACCTTCAAATAGAGAAATCTTTTAGAAGGACTTTGTAATGACGAAAATACCCCTTAACCTTTTATTTTACGTAGGAAAACGTCACCAATATATTTATCAGTGATTATCTTGCTTGCAGGAAAGCTCATATTCCGCCCAAATATTATGGAAGCGACGTAAATTGCAAACAAATGTACGAGGTCGATAATTTTCCAATAAAACAACAAAGATATCGCGGAAATACCTCTGAATCGTAGACATTTCTGTCCTGTTTGATCTCAGAGCATACTCGGTGACCTCCGTGTTGGAAAAAGCGATGCAAACTATGTATTTACGGGATGTTCCTGATGCCGACACGTCGAGCTGCCGCAATTCTCCAACAGGAAATTAGCCCTAGAAAAGATGGATGCTAATGACAGTTGTATCAGCGTTTGTGATTGGTTATTGTTTTATATGTACTCTTACTAGAAATTTCCTGAACAGGAATATATACTTTTGTTCAATGACCTCTGTGTTGGACGAGGTCGGAGACTCTTTTCAAATTCAGCTGAGTGGCATTGTCTTCTATTTACATGTATGAGTTGCACGAGTTATTACTAGCCTTTGTACCTTGTTTTTGGGTAGAAATACTCCTTTGTTTTTATTATCAAAAGTAAACCAATAAAATCACGCGTTATAATGTAAATATTCGGCTCCGGAAGCAAAGAGCTCTGGGTAGCAACATAGAGGCGAGGTTTTAATATGGCTGCTAGATTTCCAATTTGCAATTCTTTCGGTAGGTCTCGACATAATAATCAGGAATATCAATAGTTTTCTCTCTTCTGCCTCATTGATTTCGGAGAGATGCAGAGCGAGAGTGATTCAGACAATGAGTTCTTCGATGCTGCAGAAAAACTTAATATATCCGAGTCTTCCACTTTGGATTCGAGGTAACAACACTTCACGTAACTTGAATTGAATGCTAATATATATATTTTTTGGTTGCGCAAAAGAGCTTTGTATCATCGTCGTTCATGGAAATTTCTCCTTTAATTATTCCTTCTGTAGCTAGGGAAAATCGTTATTTATACGCTTAGATTTATTCGTAAGCAATTTATTTTCAATTTGCTTGCAAAACATTCTTTTCTGGGAATTTTATAAGGCGCTTCTGAAATGTTCCTGTTTTTGTCACCCACTCGTGTTCTTCAACTTTGACTGTGTTCTTTTGCAGAGGGCCAAAGGATGAAAAGACCGCACAAAAGGTAGGTTTGTTTACGTGCATTTTAACTGTGCACATGTACCGCATAATCAGCACGAAATTTCAACGCACTTTAAACAGAACGAACACCTGTCAGCACTGTATGATATTGAATCTAAATAATCGATTTATTTATGTTTTAAACGTTTCTTTTATTCTTAATGGTGGCTTCCGCCCGTGGCCGTGGGTTTTCTCCTCCATTTTGATTGCGTAGACTTGTGGTATTTTTCCTCTTATGAAATAAGCATCAAGTAAATCTTATATAATACCTACTGTAAAGCTTTCAAACAAATGTAAACAGCGTCAGTGGATCTAAAATTCTCATGTTTGAATAAACGCGAAATGTTTATTTTTGTAACCTACATTTTATAAATTGTGGGGTTTTTTGGATGAGACAATTTTCTGGCGCTTGATTAAGTCTGGATTGTTATTTTTGTTGCAAGTTAAATTATAGAAAGTGATGCAAGACTGCAAATGAGAATGTGCAAGTAGATATGGAAATATGGATGACAATGTTTATCCATGCAAGAACATACATGCACATTTTTGCTATATTATTCTGTTGTTTATTTTGGTGTTGATAACTTTGACAGCAGTTAACAAATTAATATGTGGTAACTTTCAGGAAAGATTGATGTAAGTATTTCAGCAGTGAAAATGTATATAGGAACATTTTTTTTTGTCAAAATATGGAAATATGGAATCAAAGAGATTATTTCGATCACCATTCATTGCTGAATTATAGAAATAGGAGGTCTAGCAGCAAACTCAACAAGCCAGCCAGTCTTGTGTGGCCACTGGCCAAGAAATAAACTTTTAAGTGTCTTGATAAAAATGGGTCTATCATCTTGTGTCAAAGGGTAAGAAGTACCATGCTGATATTTGTTTGATTTCTTTTAGGATCAAGTTGATGGACCATATAGAAATCATTCAACTGATATTTCTCTGATAGACCCAATTCCAGGAGAAAACTCAGCTGCAGCAGAAAGTTCTGTGGTTGAACAAACAAATGAGGCAGATATTATCAAAACCCATGGAGAGAGCACTGCTTTGAATCAGTCAACTAGTGATTTAGCTGACAGAAAAGAAACCAGTGATACGTCTTTACTAAGTGACATGATTCATAATGATTCTAAACTTGAACCAGAAGAAGTAACAGATACAAATAGTTCAACAGACTGTCACAGTAAGGCACAGGCTTGTTTAGGTGAAGGTGAATTACAAAATGAGGAAATAGTGTCTAAGGAGACAATTGAAAACACTGTCACAAAGGAGGATGTAGGGTCTGATGCTACTGATAAGAAAAAGACAGAATTTGCAAAGAGCAAAACAGATGCCAGTCAGATTATTGCTGATGTTGTTGAGAGTATTGAACAGGATAGTGCACCTCCTATAGCTCCTCCAAGAAGACGGAAGAAAAAGAAGAAAGCTTCCTTGGAAGACCAGGTGAGTCAATAAAAGGGATGTGTAATGGATAATATCAAAGCCAGAGTCAAGGAGATAGAATTTTTCGTTGGTCTGATCATCACAGTTGTGTGGGAAACTGTCTCCTTTGCAAAATAAACATGCACTAAAAAATGTTCATGCTTTGCAGTTGAATGCAAATGGTAGTAAAAGGTTAAGAACAAAGTTATGATCTCATGTCGTCTACACCTCTCCAATCCTTCTGAGGCTGCAAAATACAAATATCTGAGTATGAAAATTAGAGGTTGGGCAATCCCTCTTTGGCTCACTTTTCCTCCCACGGAGTGGAAAGCACGCAGTGTTAGCTGTCTGTTTTATACCTTTCAGACACCTGGGTCACCTACACCTTCAGAAAGCACTGGGCCAGATTCCACTGTCACTACTCCTACAGAACCAGAAACACATATTCCTGCAAGAGCTTTTGCCAAACCAGTTCTCTCTAATGAACAAGATGGCAAAACAAAAGAACTTGAATTGCTAACAACTGAATCTAATCAAGACGATCCTAGCATTCATGTTGATGCAAATAACAAGGAGATGAAAACTGTGTTAGATAGAACAAGTTCAACAGAAGTTATACCTGCATTAAGTTTAGATTCCAGGCTGAAATATGGCAGTGTGGCCTCCATTAATAGATCAGATAGCTATGCAAGCGTTGCAAGTAATCTATCAAATGGTATTTCTGAGAAAGCAGGTTCATTCACTTCTGTTGCTAGTACTTTATCGGCTCATCAGCCTCTTGGATCTCATCATGGTTTAGTGCGGTACAGATCAGCTTCAGGAAGACCCTTGTCTGACATTGTAAGTACACTCTGACTTCTGCATGCAACTGATACAATCACACAGGTCTTAAGATTACTACAGATACAGGCACCAGTGTGACTAACAATTTACTGGCTACTTAGACTTCTTATCTAATCAGCACTGTGGCTTCTAGATTTTTGTTATGTTTAGTTAAAAAGTTTAAGTTAAAAAGTACCTCGTATTGTCTAGATTTCTTGCTGTTTTGAAAGTGAAAAAAGAAGAAACTTGCATAAGCAAATTCCGTTGACATTGCAGATTGTCATCTTTTGACACAGTTATTAATTTTCACAAGTTTCATTCAGATTGGAACTGGATTGTTTGAATAAATTTTTGTCTTATGTGTTAAAATTTTTTAATAGTTTCTCAATCACAAAGACATTGTGCAGCACTTATAGCAGGTTTTGCATGCAAATTCCAATCCACACTTTAACTCAAAATGAATGTTGCTACCACCAATACCCCTATGTAGTCATTCGTGTTTTAAGTGTGTGATGATTTTGTGTAGGAAATTTTAGAACAGGTGATGGTAAAAAACCTAGATACTGGAGAAGCTGTACCACTGAGTGTAGCAGAGGAAAAATTACCAAAATGTACCAACCCTTTGGCTTTACAAATCATGAGATTAACTTCTGAATACTCAAGGTACATGTGGAACTTAATGAGTACAGTATGGTTATGTAGCCCATTTTGGAAATTGCAGGATTGCCACTATGAGGTGGAAGGTTTAAGCATAAAAGTAGACATTTTTATATAAAATACTTCTCCTGATATCTCTTTACCTTGAGTGTAACTCCATCTCAAATTTATTACATTTCACTTCTGTTTGAATATTATTATTATTGATGAATACCCACTCTTGATTTTTTTTTAGCAATCCAGACCTTACAAACCAAGATCATGAGGATGGACTAGAACGAAAAGCTGCAAAGACAACGTAAACTATCACCAAAATTTTCTATTATTTTAATCATTGCAGTTGCTTTAATTCAATTTCAGGGACTAATTCACAAGTTTGTCATTAATCTTATAGGAAAAAATTGAAGAAATTTTTTGGGAAAAAGGCAAAGAAGGCAGATAAACCTGCAAAAGGTTTGTTGGTCATTTTATCAATACAGGAATTATTTTAAGTTTCTATAATCCAGTGCAAGGAGCCCTTGGTGAATGTACATGTACAATTTTAGGTCTAACCTGTCATAACTTGAATTTGATTTAATTACAAAAGTAAAGCAACAAGGCCTGCTCCTTAGCTGGATCTAGGGTAGCATTATAGATCTTTGCAGCTTTTTTGTGCCAGTACATATATGAATTCTTGAAATCTTACCAACAGATGCCAAGAAATAGGGAAAAATTTATTCATTGTCTCTGAAAAAAATGTTGAGTCTCTGTTTAAAAGTATTGCCAGTCTGAATCTGTACCTTATGTTATTATGATTGCATTTTAGCTCGCAAAGAAGACAGCTCTTCCAGTGATGAAGAAACGCCTCAAGATTCTCCAGCTCCTCTTATCAAGGTTGGTCACAGCTTTGAATATGGATTATACAGTCATGTATGTTCGCCTCATTAGTCGAGTGTTACCTGCAGGAGGGTAGAGGGGCTTAAAAATGGTCATTTAGATCGCACACAGAGTTGGTGATTCATTAATTTTGGACTGAATCTTACACTACAAATTCCAACTGAACCTGGAAGCCATGCACAAGGACCACCTTGGGAGTGTCAGCTCCACTGCTAAATTTCAATTTAACACATTCTTTTTAATTTTTTCCTTCTCAGTTTGAATTATGCCTCTTGTTAAGTTCATGCTTGTTCCCTCATTTTGAAAACGGTTGCACCACCTACGTTATGCCATCTTTTGTCAATAATTATAATCTTAGATCTGGCATTAGCCGCTTCACGCGTACTACTTGTAGGACAAAGCACATGCAAGAGTTTGTCGTGCCTAAGTACACCTAGTGGCTTGTAGAATTATGCTTTTTAGTATTTATTGGATTTAATGTATTATATATATCTTATTAACCAAGCATGAGGGCCGTACTGGGAGAATATCGGCCCAAGGTCTTGACAGTATGATGTGAGTGCAGCGAGGTCCGTACAAAAAAGACGGAGGGCCGATATTCTTCCAGTACGGTCCCGAGCAAGCTTGGTTAATAAGAGATTTATTATTCGGGACCATTTGGGACAGTGCCCGGTCCAATAGTGAGAGAATATTGACCGGCAATAGAGCATTTTGATTGGTTGATTTTAGTTATTGGCCCTCTGACTGCCCGAGTCGTGTATTGAATTTTAGTATTATATGTTTTGTAAATAGCTCTGTAATTCAGCCATTTTGTATATTGCTGCAATGAGTCTTAATAAACATTCTTTATTATAATCTGTACTGTCTTTGATCTCTTATTCTTATTCTTAAGCCCTCTGTTAAAATTATTTCACTTGATATTGTTCTTTTTACAGATAAAATCTGGTCATGGTAAAGGTCCATCTGAGTTTGAAAAGTTGAGCATTCTGCAGGATCTTAGTGGGGAGCATGTGGTATGTGAATTTTAAAGAAACATCTTTCAGTTCTTAATTTAACTTACAAATCAGTTGCAAGGAGTATCTTTGTGGTATCTTTTGTGTGGAGTGACTGGGAATACATGTATATCAGCCTTTTCTAAATGGGAGGCTATTTCATGGCTCTTTACAATATCAGTACAACAGAAAAATATCAGTTAGGGATTATGAGTTGATCCAATGCCAAATTTCCTGAACCAACATGAGAACAACTGTGTGGTAGGCAATAAGGATAATAATAACTGAGATTTTGAAATTGAAAGGGGAAAACACCAAGCACTTTGTTAAGTTTCCTTGACAGTTCACTGGTAGCTCTGTGTACTATGTGTTAGGAGAGAGGCTTTGGGAAAGTAAAGTGTCTTGCCCAGGAACACCACCTCCCTTTCTCAAATCTGGGATGCTTAGCTTACCAGCATGCTGACCACTTGGCTCTGGTTGTTCAAAGGGTGGATAATGCTATCCAACGGATAAATCACTATCCAATGGATAAGTGCTACCAAACTGTACTGCACTATCCACCGGAGAGAGATTTATCCAGTGTATAGCGTTATCCATCCTTTGAACAACCAGGCCTGGTTGTTATGTTTGCTAGTTAAATTCAGCAGCACGTTGTTTATTTGGTTCATGACTGTTACTGTATTTTCATTTAGGGAGCTGTGTGGACTATTAAGTTTACTCTCTGTGGCAGACTTATGGTAAGCTATTCTCCTCTTCTATCAAAATTTGCTGGAGGTGAACCTGATAAAAATCTTGTAATTGCTAAGTAAATTCTATCTTTCTTTTTAGTCATAAATTGCTCTTTCTTTCTCATACATTGTTCTTATTTTGTACCTGTAGGCTACAGCTGGTCAGGATCATATGGTGGTAGGGGAAAAGAGTTTTATTAACACTAATTTTCTGAATTTTCTTTGCTCTCCAGATTATATCAGTCTATTTGGTGATTAACTCTTCTCTCAGCATGCAGATCCTTTATATTTCCTTTTGGAGTAGTAAAAGAATTTCACGTACTAAGATTTTCTTGTATTTCTGGTAGTCAGTCAATGCTTTGTTTACATGTTTGTGATAATTCAAACCTCAGTTGTCCGTGTGTTGATTTGTAGAGAGTTTGGGTGCTTAAGGAATCACAAAACTATTTTGAAGAAATGAGAGCAAAATATTCCAAGACAGGTAATATTCTAATACATCAGATGAGCTAAATGCTAAAGAATAAATAAATGTATTAACTAAATTTAGTTTTTTGTAAGCAGGTAACCTATAACTTGAAGGAGTAATATTATGGTGTGAGTTGCTTTGTAATTTGCACTGCTTTGTATTTTTAGAGGGTCTCAAATTATCATGGGTAAAGAAATCTTAAACATTGGAGAAAATTTTTCAAACATTGCTTGGATACAGTTTCTGTCCTTCTGTTTGGTTAACTTTGGCCTGATTTTTTGTTTTGTGTGTTTGCTTGTTTATTTATCTGTTTTGTTTTGTTTTGTTGTTTTTTTAAGGTGATAATTCATCCTCAGAACAAGAACCAAATTCAGAAGAATACTCACAAATGGAGGAAACATTAAAAGGAGGCGAAGAGAGTGCTGCAAGTGCAGAAGAGGGGCCAACAGAAACCAGTGAAGCCAATGAAGTTAGTCCCTCCTTTTCATTTAAACCAATCTTTTTGTTTCTATGGTAAACATTGTTTTAGAACATAATGATAAATAACTCTCAGGTAAAATTGAAAACTTTAACTTAAGTAACCATATGGGATTGTTTTAGGAGCCTGCTGCAGAAGCCCCTGTTGAAGAAGATCTGGGCCCATATATGAAAACACCTCTGTGTACTTACTGTGGTCACACTGGAGATGTACTTGACTTGTCTTGGTCAAAGGTATGAAGAAAAAATAATTTGCTTTTTTGATTTGTTGGCAAGCAGATGTGATCATTTGCTTATTTTTACTTATCATTTTGTTTATTTTTCTGGCAGAACTACTTTCTTTTGTCCTCATCAATGGATAAGACTGTAAGGTAACCGCATTACATGTGATAGCTGGAGCCCTGTATGGCACTTTATACCTGTTCTTTCATCAGCGGGCTTGTTACATTTTCATTTCTTTTCTGTGTATTTTTTAAATTATTATTATTGGAGAACTAATTTGTATCTCCAGGGGGATGGGGGGTTGTAACCAGTTCAGTTACAAAGATAGATTAGAAGAATTCAGATGATTAAAGGGTCGATTAAAAGGTATTAAATATTTTCTATAATGATTGCAGGTTATGGCACATCTCCAGATCTGAATGTCTCTGCTGTTTTCAACATATAGACTTTGTGACAGCTATTTGTTTTCATCCAAGGGTAAGTAATTGCTAACTGCTTTGGTGAAAACGAAGAGGGATTGTTGAGGAAGGAAGGGAGTCAGTCTTAAAAGAACTGGTGGAGATGTCCCAGATAAGCTTTGACCATGTTCAGTGTGTGTGTGCATGCATGCGTGTGTGTGTGTGTGTGCTTGTGTGTGTGCGTGCATGTGTGTGTGCGTGTGTGTGCGTGTGCGTGTGTGTGTTTTCTATTTTTTCAAATCTTCTGTCAATGAACCATTTTGATTAAGTTATTGAGAGAACACCACCGTGAAACATTATTAACGTTTGCTGATTTTTAAGACAAAAACTAGTCTGATAATGTAGTTTTGCTTCAGGATGATCGGTATTTCTTAAGTGGTTCACTCGACGGAAAAATTCGTTTATGGAACATACCAGATAAGAAGGTAGCATTGTGGAATGAAGTAGAAGGGACAGGTAAATATCTTCATTTCTTCTCTTCATGTCTGTTTTTTTTTCTTTTTTTTTGTTCATTTGGCCTTTTTGGTAGCTATTGTTATGATGTATATATATTTTTTGGTAGCTATTGTTATGATGTATATATATTTTTTGGTAGCTATTGTTATGATGTATTTATATTTTTTGGTAGCTATTGTTATGATGTATATATATTTTGGTAGCTATTGTGGTGATGTATATATATTTTTTGGTAGCTATTGTTATGTTATTGAATGGAATGTTATCCTAAACTAACAAAACACAAGCAAAATTTAGGCGACGAGAAGTCCCTCCTCAACAAATGATAAACACCACAGCGTACACTATTGAGTTATGGATGAACGCGGGAGGTTGCTAAGCACGAAAGAAGCGTAAGAGTCCTCGAGGCGATAGCCGAGAGCGACTCTAGCTTCTTGAGTGCTTAGCAAACCTCCCAAGTGCATCCATAACTCAATAGTGTACGCTGTGGTGTTTATCATTTGTTTTATAACATAACATTGATACATTGTAGCTAAAGAGTACCCTTTTATTTAACAAATCTTACGTGATCAGAAAAAACAAGCGCGCGCGGAAAAATAGTCTTTGCATTTGCTCACGGCAGCAGCATACACCCATGGGCAAATGGGGAACGCTAAATTGACCAATCAGAGCGCGCGCTTTACTTTGATTATATTATAATTTTCGGTGAAGTCCGTCGCGCAGTAAAAAAGTATCAATAGAGTTTTGCGAGCCGCGCGATGGTCTTCGCCGATGAGGCGGGACAGCTCGTAGTGTAAGCAAAGCATGCGTTCACTCTCATACTGTGGCATCGCGTCTTGAGCTCTAACTGACTGTACGTGAAAGAACTGCACTCTGTTGTAATTTTTAGAGACTGACAAACCGCTCTTTGTATTATTGTTCCACCTTATTTACTTACGCTCGTTTCTTTTTTTTCTTGGAAGGGAGTAACTTAATTACTGCTGCAAATTTCTGTTTGAATGGCAAATTTGCCGTAGTTGGTACGTACGATGGACGATGTATCTTTTATGAAACAGAGGTAAGACCTTTTGTGGCTTTGTGTTTTTGAATCAAGGATTTGTATATAAACGCTTTACTGCAGGTTGCCTTCGGGAAGACAACTCTGCCTTTTGTGTCTATTTAAATGGCTGAGTCATAGTCCGCCCAGCTTGAAATACTTCGCCTCGATGTTACAATTATGTCACTTGTAATCCATTTCAATCTTCTCCATGCTTAACCATCCTTGCTCCTATTTAGTTTATTTTCGTCTCCTTTGTGTTTTTCTATTTTACCTAACTAGTGTTGTAGTTACTTGCAATCCTTGTTATTATCTTTAACTATCTTGTCTCCTTTCCAACTTTTTTTTTTTCGGTTCTGGTCTCCTCTTTTCCCTCCGTTCTTCATAACTTTTCCAAGTCTAGCGTGGTCTTTAACGTAATGATTATCTTTTTACAGCGACTCAAATATCATACACAGTGGCAAGTGAGAGCTGCAAGAAACAAGAAAGCTCGTGGCAGAAAGATTAGCGGCATTGAACCCATGCCAGGTGAAGATAAGGTATTCACAGTTTTGTTACTTCCGCAAGAGCAATTTTCAATTTAGTGTCAAACCATAGTTAGTACTAACTATGGTCGAACATCTTTGGGAATCGCATTGGGTTTGCTTCACTTCGCTCTGTGATTGGTTTAGAAAACTCGCGCCGGCCTCTCAGCCAATCAGATGCAAAACTTAAGCCAACCTCGACTTGGTACTTCAAACGATTCAATATTGTTAATATTGTAAATTTTTGTTGATAGCTCTTGTCTATGATCTTCAATCCTGTTTTTAGTTATTTAATAGATCTACTTATTATTTGTATTCTTACAGAAATTATGTTTTCTTTCTAATTATACATACACGTACACGTTTTAACGAGAACTTCTGTACTCCTAGGTGTCACGTGTTTAAATAAAGGATTGATTGATTGATTTTCCCGCGCTTTAGTCAGTGTACTTGTGTTTTAAACACTTCGACTCCTCATTAGTGGTTTATGAGTATAATTATTGTTTTGATAGGCTATTGTGACAACCTTTGAAAAGTGCTGTACGTGATTTGATTTAACGTCGCGGGGTGTTTTCAAATAAACAAATATGGTTTTTCTTACTTCCTCTTCAGGTTCTTATCACATCAAATGATTCAAGAATAAGACTTTACGATCTCAAGGACAATTCTCTGAACTGCAAATACAAAGGCTGTGTGAATACCAGCAGTCAGATCAAGGCGGGTTTTAGGTATTGAACACGGTAATTTTTTACGTATGCCAAGTTGTGTTGAATTTGTTCAGCGGGAAATGATTATTGAGAGGAAATACAAATAAAGAAAGCAGCGACATTGTTGTAAGTAATTAAATTGTAGTAACAATGCTGTGTACAGCAGACGATGATTTTGAGATCACTAAACTGTGCGTATAAACGAGTTGAAAATTCGGTAATTCACGAATATACGACCCATTTAGAAGATTGTTTTTGTCTGTCGTTGTAACTTACCATCTAATATATAGAAGAAACACAACGAAGAATGTATGGCAAACAGAACTAGCAGTCTAATGATTTCTTGTTCTATTTCTGTAGTCACGACGGTCAGTATGTCATATGTGGCTCAGAGGATCATTTTGTTTACATCTGGAGAACCCAACACGGATTTCCATCCTCCAGGAGAGACAAGAACGAGTTTTACGAGAGCTTTTCAGGTCAGAAAAAACTGTTAAATCTTAGAAATCTTTTCACGTGTGAAATTTGTTGCCAATGAAGATCAACACTTATTCAGTGGTTAATTAAATGACTTTTCTGAACGCGTTTTTGAGCTGCTACCAAGCGTTGGGAGCCTTAGCTAGAAAGGGCCTCCTCAAGTCTTGAATTTGTATGAATTGAGGTATGAACCAGAGGAAAAACCTTTTATTTTTTAACGGAAAACCGTGTTGTTGACTGCATTTTTAACCATTGTTGCCACCAATAGAGTACTTCATTGATACTTTCAACGAATTCCCCACAAACTGATGTTTGCAATATCTGCTGAAACTTGCGACTATTATCTGTTTCTTTTCAAGCTCACGCTGTCGTGGTGACGGCAGCAATGTTCGCCCCAGTTCCCTGGCTTATCGTTCCTCCAGACTCGAGCGTTCATCAAAGTACGACAGAGGTACTTGTGACCGCTGACTGGAGCGGTGCTATCAAACTGTTCGTGAACAGATGACACGCAGCTTCCCTTATTTGGAATATCAGTGGAAACTGTTCCGCTGGTCTAGAAAGTCCTCGTCTCGTGGTCATTCAAATTCACTGTCTAACATGATGGTCCATCCAGATTGTGCACGGAAACTATGTGGACAACTTTCTTAGCGTATCTTAGACGAACACTAGTGAACAGTGACGTCGTATCATTTGCGGTTCTTTCGGTACTCAGTTTTCTGTATCTGGTACGCGGCACGGGAGTGCAATGGGTGATGGGAAGAGGACCGGGGAAGAGGACCGAGAAAGATGACCTCCATCTCGCTCCTTTTGGCTTTCACCTTACCCGTCTGCCTCACGCTTCCATGCTATTTCCGTTGGCTGCAATTGCTATAAAGACTTGGACAAATGTGGGCTGTATTCATTCCCTTTTCAGTAAAAGCAAACAGACAACATTTTTGAATACAACCATATTCTTAAGATCTAGTGAACTCATCCACGTAGGGAAGGAATTCTTCCTACGGAAAATGCAATGTATCTTCGTTCGCTGGATTTGATGCTACACTGCTCAGACTATATAATTTGCTGAAAGAAAGGGATGTGTTGTTCGATATCCAGGCCACGCTAGTCTCCGTCAAAAAATTGTTAACAGACTTGAATATAAAGCAATCGAGTGAAAAGCTATCTTGAAGCTGTGGAAATCGATCGACAGGGGTGTTTTTGTTTGGGTCTATATTTTTCCTGGTGGATTCTGACAGTCGACTGGGGACATAAGTTATTTAAAATTTCTTTACAGATTCGAAAGCCAAAATTATTAACGTAACTATAGTTCTAATTTTGAAATAATATGGTCCTAGCTGTAAAATTGGACAGATCAGTCATATTGTAATTCTATTTAAGAGTGAATTGGCAGGGAATCGACGTTCATTTGAATTTTTTTCTTTTATTTTTTGCTTTCATGTGCGACGGGAAATGAACCGAGGATCCTTGTGGTAATTGTCGTAATTAAATGCTTCAGACGTGAACGCGTTCTGATTGTCTTCTATCAATTTAATGGTAGTTTCCTGTTCAATTTCAAATGACTTGTGTGTCCAAGCGTCATTTTATTGACGTGAAAGGTACTGAACCTAATAAATTAAACTTCATATATGAAAAGATCGACGTTTAAGTCGATGAAGGTATACATATCTTATCTGTATCGACCTAAGAATTACGTCCAAGTTGGAAACGACTTAACTTCAAACGTCCAACTTTTTATGTGCTCTCTATATATATATATATATATAAACATTGGCTTAGACGATACCACAATTGTGGGATCGTTTGGGGGTACATATACGCGTTTCATACGCGTTTCACCATCCTAGCATCAGCACTGCACCGATGACGCCCAGAAGGCCGAAACAGTACATATATATATGTACTGAAATAAATGAAAAACGAAAGTCCTTTTTCTTTTTCTTTCTCTTTGCTTTTGGGCTACGCGTTTCACCGCTGTTGCGGCGCTTCAGGCATAGCAAAGTGTGTTTATTGACTTATTACGTCACAGATCTAATTGTAATTACAATGGTTATTGTAATTCGAAGCACGCGCGAGCAACTA